CAAGATCCATAGGACATGAGCAATGATATCCCTCATTCCACAGCCTCTTCTGAATCCAGCTTGAACCTCTGGAAGTTCTCTGTCAATGTATGATTGTAGCCATTTCTGTATTACCTTTAGCAAAACTTTACTTGCATAAGATATCAAAGAGATTGTCTGATGATTTCCGCATTCCGTTGGGTCACCTCTCTTTGGAATGGGCACAAATATAGATCTCTTCCAATCAGTTGGCCAAATAGTTGTCTTCCAAATTTCTTGGTAGAGATGAGTGAGTGCCTCCTGTGCCTTTCTTGAAAGATTTCCATTTGTAGTCCATCAATTCCTGGTGCCTTGTTCTTTGCCAATTCCTTCAATGCACTTTGGACTTCCTCCCTAAGTATTATTGGCTCTTGATCATATGCTACCGCTTGAAATGGTTGAACATTAGCCATTTCCTTTTGGTACAGTGACTCTGTGTATTCCTTCCATCTTCTCTTGATGCTTTCTGCATCAGTCAGTAATTTGCCCAGAGAATCTTTCAATAACGAAAGTCGAGGCTTTGAATTTTTTTCTTCAGTTCCCCCAGCTTGAGAAATGCTGAGCGTGTTCTTCCTTTTTGGTTTTCTGAGTCCAGATCTTTGCACATTAGTCGTTGTTGTTAAGTGCCGTGGAGTCGGTTCCGACTCATAGTGACCCTGCGCAGGGTTTCCAAGGCTGTAAATCTTTACAGGAGCAGAACACCTCATCTTTCTCCCGCGGAACCACTGGTAGTTTTGATCTGCCGACCTTGAGGTTAGCAGCCCGATTCGTAACCACTACCATTAGTCATTAGGGTAATACAAATTAAAACCACAGTGAGATACCACTTCACACTCCATAGAATGTGTACTATCAAAAAAACAGAAAGATTAGCAAGTGTTAGGAAGGCTGTGGAGAAAACTGAACCCTTGTACAGTGCTGGTAGAAATGGGAACTGGTGCAGCTACTTTGGAAAACTGGCAATTCCTGAAATGATTAAACATGGAAGTACCCTGAGACCCAGTATTCCCACTTGTAGGTCTACGCCTCCAAGAACTGAAGCCACACAGCTGCACTGAAGCGTGTTCATCAGTGTCCATGGCAGCATGATGCACAGTTGCCAAAGGGGGCAGCAATGTAGTCCCATGAAGCCATATTGTCGTTAGGCGCCATTGAGCTGGTTCCCATTCATGTGACACTATGTAGTAGATAACGCGGCTTTCTTGGCCGTGGTCTTTACAGATGCAGATAACCAGGTCTTTTCTTCAACAGAGTCACCAGGTAGGTTTGAACCTCCAGCTTTTGGGGTGGCAGCCGAGTGCTCAGCTGTTGTGGCACTTGTGCACTTTGGTGTGTCCACACACAGCCTGAGGAAGAATGCATTGCTACCCATGTGGCCTAGTGGAGAAGTCTTGAAGTCGTGATGGGAAGGAAACCAGATGTAGGAGTGGGTCTGCTGGATTACTGCTGTGCATGTCCCAGCGGCCTTCTGTGAGGCTGAGCTTCGGATCTGCTCCGACGGGCTCTGTAGGACTCGGGCACTGGTCACAAACAGGCTGCGTGAGTTGACACTGTCTGGAGTGTGTCCTCAAGCCTGCCCCCTAGCCAACGTGCACCACCTTAATCTCCAGTCAGAAATGGGAAAAGGCAGCTGCGGTGTACTGAACTAGTAGGATCTGATCGAGACTTGGTCTCTGTGCTGTGAGCTAGGGATCTGAGTTCTCTGTGCAAACAGCTCAGGTGCTGTCTGTCATTTGAATTCTGCAGGCCTGTCACAGACTACCTGAACGAAAAGACCCTGGAGGGGTTGAAGCAGATTCATCAGCAGGTTCGTATGTACCCACTCCAGCCTGTGCTGTCCTTAGATATTTTGGGTTTGCTTTTCAGCAGTCTCAGCTTTGTTACTACAGGAAATTAGACTTCCTTTCAGAGCACACATAGCAACTTTCAGGTCTTCTATGTGGTGCTTGAGTTGGGATTAAAAGCTCTGAGTGTATCCTATCTTTTCCCTACTACATCTTACAAAAGTAGGAGCAAATAGCCAGTATCATTGTACTCTCCAGTTTGACAAAAAAGTGTGAAGGTGTCCAGTACACTCCCACCCAGAGCCTGTGTCTCACTGTGTTTGATGAAGAGGATCCAATGGTGAGAATCTGCTTGACTCTGTGCTCATATCGCCACATTGTGTCATGAGTTCCAAGTGTCCCCTGTACTCCAAATGTAGCCAGACTGGAGACCCACATCAGAAAACCCATCCTTAAGATGATGTTACTCTTGACCAATTCTCAGTACCTCAAGGCTTCAGTTGGATTTTCTAGAGAAACAAAACCAGTGAGACATATTGGTGTATATATAAGGGGACCCCAACAAATTTGTGGAAAATCTCCATTACCTTTTAATTCCATTTTTACACAGACTTCTTTGTACATATACATATAGATCAAGGGAATGGTTCACACAATTGTAGGGACTGGCAAGTTCCAAATCTGTAGGTCAGGTAGCAAGCTACAGACTTCTACTAGCTCATGGGATTGGGAAGGCAGGTGAATCTAAAGTCTGCAGGTTAGACAGCAGGCCGGAGACTTCTATAGGCTTATGTCTCATGGTCTGGAGGTCAGGCACCGAGAAGAGTGCAGGGTCAAGAGAGGGAGAGAGAGAGCAAGTCCTGTCAGAATATCCAAGAACCCTGCCTTTTCAACTGACTGTTGGTCACATCAGATCATATCATGGACAGTGATTACACTCACGACACTTCACCATCCCATCACCAGTCCATCATCCGACCCCACTATCCCATCGTCACCCCGTCATGCCATCCCACCCCACCCCTCTAGCATACAATGACAACCGCATACAGTGCCACCTTCAGTTCTGGCCAAATCAGTGAGACTCATAGCTGAGCCAAGTGGACCCAGAATGAAGCATCACATACTTTATAGAGCTGGTGTGAGAATTCAAGGGTTTAGTGGAGTCAAACATTCGGTAAAACTTGGTACGTTATGGTGATGATGACACCATCATCTGTGATCTGCCTGTAAGTACTTGAAAGAGCTCCAGCACAACCCCGCTGACTGCATGAGTGTTGTACCTGAGCAGCTGAGTAGGGGACAGGTAGGAATCAGCCCCTGGCCAAGTGGCAGGCCCATCTGGCTCCCCTCACTGCTGTGTGGTCCACCTTGCCCCTGTTGTGCCTTGTCATACTGTCTCTGCCTGTCCCATCCAGGGTTCTTGGGAATCTCACTGCGGAGAGCTCTCCATGGTGCTGGCAGGCCCATCCTGGGACCAGCAGGCTCTGCCCTTGCCTGGGTGCTTGTAAAAATTTATTGTGTGTGTATTGTGTTATTTAAACAATCAAAATGACTGAATAACTGACTGCCAATTATTTATTTGTAGCTTTATGATCATCAGTTATACAGGTAAGCTTTAACAAAACTGAAGTTCTTGTGTTTTGTGTCTTGCTAAAAAAAAAGCCTGTAAAAGAGTAGTTGTGTGGTGGGCTCGTTTCTGATTCATCCCGACAGTTGCCTGGCCCGTGTTTATCTTACTCCAGTAGTCACTTTAATTCCATACTCAGAGGTGTGAAGGCCTAGCTGAGTGGGTGTTGTAAGCTTTATTGGGTTCTGCCGACATAGCTAATGAAATTTGGTCATTCAAGTGCACACACAGTTTGACCTCTGTCAACAACACACATGTAGCAACAGTCTCACCACCAAGAGTTTCCCTCTTCCTGCCCTTCTGCATTATCCCCCCAGACCCTGGCCTGCTCTCTGTCTCTGGATTTGCCTGTTCCAGGCAGTTAGTTAAAGTGGAGCCAGACAGCGGGAGTCTCGTGAGTCTAGGTTTTCCCACTCAGCCTAAGGTGTCTGAGCTTCATTATGCTGTTGTGTGTGTTCATCATTTGTTCCTTTTATTGCTGTATAGTCTTCCATAGAGTGCATGCCCCTCAGTTAAGCAACTTTCTAAATAATGCTGTGAACACTGGCCTCTAAGTCTTGAGCAGATGTATGTTTTCATGTTCCTGAGTAAATGTCTGAGGGAAGGTGTGGTATAGCTAAGTTACAGAGTAAATGTGTGGTTTTACCAAAGTGCGTGCGCCATCTTGCACTCACACCTGTGGTAGGTGAGTGCTCTCTGCACTTGGTGTGTCAGTCTACGCCCCGTGTGGCCGTGCGCAGCCTAGTAGGGTGCAGAGGCAGCTTGGGGTTGCTTTGGTCCATGGTCCCCCATGGTCCTGATGGTGAGCAGCATTCTCTGTGTGCCAGTTGGCTATTCCTCTGCTTTCCTGGGTGAAGTGTCCACTCTTAGTCCACATGAGACTGTTGTGTTGTCTGCCTTCTTATTGAACCACCAGGGTCCTCGTGCACTTGTATTTTGGATCTGAGGCCTGGGGCTCCCCAGTGTCTGTTCTTGGCCTGTGGCTGGCCACTTCACTCGCTTGCATGCCCTTCGGTGGAGCTTTGTGTGGGGTGGTCTCAGTGTTCTTTATTTCTGGCATTCATTTTATCTGCAAACTCCCCCCACCCCCTCCCCCAACTTCCCCTAGCTTTACTTGAAAGCCTCAGTGCTGCTCCCAGGCTTCCCCACCCTCCCCACCCAGGCCCACATTCCAGGGCACCCAGGGACTTGTTCCAGGGCCTTGTTCCAGGGCACCCAGGGGCTCGTTCTAGGGCACCCAGGGGCTCGTTCCAGGGCACCCAGGGGCACGTTCCAGGGCACCCAGCCCAACAGGTCCCCTCTAGAGGTCATAGCACACACTTTGCTGCCAGGGCTGCAGACCTTTGATTTGGGGTTCTCTCTGGTGTCCAGGTGTCTGAGGCAGGTGTGATTTCTATCTTCTTAGCAGTTGGGGCCCTGCTGTCCTGGCTTCTGACCTCAGTGCACATGGCTCAGTATGGACAGCCAGGCAAACCTCAGGCCTGGTGCCCTGATTAGCCTGGTCTTTATCTTTTTAAAAGTTTTTACTGTGAATTTGAGTGATAGTTTACAGGGCTGATTATCAGTTTTGCATCCAACCTGTCATATTTTGTTTCATTGCAATGATTACAATCCCCTCCATGCACCATCGGTTAACAGTATTTGCCTCTATTCCTTTTTTTTTTTTTAATATACACAAAACACATAGAAAATATATATTCATTTAAATGACCAAAGGGCACATTTTGCAAGCCCGCCTCCTGCCCGCCGGCACACAGCCTTTCTCATCCTTGGGTCCTCAGCTGCTATGTCTCTGCTTCCGTGTCTGCTGTCGCTGCTTTTCTGGTTAGGATCCTATGCTCCAACCCTGCTCTTCCCTCTTAATGGGCCTGGGATGAAAGATGAACTACTCCCCCCTTTTTGTTTCACATCTTCTCCCTTTACAGTTGTGGCCATCTCAGGTAGTCATGACACCAGTTACTCACTATTAACCCAAAGAATCCTGTCTCCATCCTCCCCCACCCCCTTCCACCAGACCTAGCTGAATAAGAGGAAGACTATTCAGTGGGGATTCTACTGTACACCCCTCGTTCTGAAACGAAGTGTGCTCTTGAAAACTTGTAAGCCAGCCACTTCATGCCTTTATATTATTGCCCCCCATTTTGGGTAGCCAGTGTCTAAGTTGCCCATCCCTATCAAGCCTGGTCTTTAACATGTGGGTCAGTGATGTGGTCATGTGACATGGTAAATCCATTAAGGTGGTTGTGCCTGGTGCAAACTGCAAACAGAATCATCCCAATTATGGACAGAGAGGATCAAGAAAGTAGTTATATCACTTAATTATTTTTCATTTCCTTTCACAGAAAACAATGCATTCTTTTAGTAGCAAGTTCAGGTCCTGAGCATTCAGCAGTGTTTGGAGTTCCCATGTACTGTCTGATGAGGCTGTTTTCTATAATCAGACAGTCTGACCTGAGTGTCCTCTTTGTTTTTAGGGGTCTAGGAGGAGAACTCATGAGACAAGCAGGTAAGTGTGGCCAACGGAAGCGGCCAGTTACAAGACTGTCCTTTTATTCTGACCGTCAAAGATGAAACATAGGCTGAGGGCATTGACTTCAGTGTTTGATTCTGCAGAGCTTCCTGCAAATGTGACCTTTTGCAGAACAAACCTAGTGATTTTCTGTGATGTTAGCACCTGGCTGGAGCACGTGAACCCAGGAAACTCAAACCAGCTGCTCCCGTGGGACTTCCATCCACTTAGTTCCCTGACTTCTGGTCATAGCTCCACCCACACTGAGCATCACAGGGCTGACTCGGGCCAGGCAGCGGATGGAGCTAAGGGTGTCCCGTGTTCCGTGTGTCCCTTCCACACAGTGTTTAGAGTCAGCCTAACAGTGGGGCACAGACTGACTTCTCAGGTTCTGTGAGAGTGGTAGGCGCATGTCTAGACTTCTGAAGTGGGTCCAGCTAACCTACGTGAAGACCCATATAGCAGGTCTTCCAGGTCCTTGGGAGATTCTGTTTGCATAATTGAAAGGTTGACAGTTTGAACCCACCCAGCAGCACCACGGAAGAAAGGCCTGGCTGTTTGCTCCGTAAAGATTGAAGTTGTTGCCACCGAGTTGTTTCTGACTCATGGGGACGAGCTGTGTCCCAGAGTAGCCTCTTGTCCTGTGGTGTTGCTGGGTGGGCTTGAACCTTCACACACAGTGGTGGGGGTGCCGTAGAGTCGGTTCGCACTCAGAGCGACCCTGCAAAGGGTTTCCGAGGCTGTGAATCATTACGGGAGCAGAGAGCCTCATCTTTCTCCTGCAGAATGGCTGACCTTGAGGTCCTTACATAAAGGTCACAGCCAAGTGTGCACGTGTGTGGCACCATGAGTCAGAGCTGGCTGAGGGCAGTGAGTTCGTGTTTTTGTTGTTTTTTGTTTTTTTAATCTAGTGTCCAGGTGTCCCTGGGTGGTGGAAACAGTTAAATGCTCAACTCTTTCCACCACCCAGGGACATCTGAACCTGCCCAGAGGTGCCTTGGAAGAAACGTCTGGCAGTGTGCATCTAGAGTTCAACCATGAACACAGCTCTGCCTTCACACACATGGGCTTGCTGTGAGTGGAGTCAACTCAGCAGCAACCGGTTGGTTTGATCCATCCTCCCTGAATGTTAACCACAGCTGGGAGGCACGGGAGGGAAACTGACCTCCTTGGAGAGCCCTTTGCCCAGGGCATAAGGTAGCATGGGCCACAGGAAGTGTCGGTCTGGCTAGGGTAGCTGAGAGCCGCAGGAGCTGGTCAGCGCCTGTCCCTCATGGAGGAGGACAGGAAGATGGTCCAGAGCTGACAGGCCATTCCCACTAGCTGTTGGTGTGTTCTGTCCACATGTCCACTCTCCGCCTCTGGGTGTCTCACCACCAAGACCTGAGGGCTGGCCTCCTGTGAACTGGCGGTGCTGACGGTCTCAGTGTCAGAGGAGTGTCCTGTGTGTTTGACACCTTAGCTGGAAAGTCAGCCCTGGAAACATGAACGGGTCTGTCAGTGGACATGGGGCAGCAGAGTGCCCTCTGGTCACTGTCAGTATGTAGCTTTCTGAACATGGATGTGGCCTGCCCATGTGTGAACCATCTGTGGGCTTGGGGAGTGTGGGTGGGTGCCACAGAAAACCACCACCACCGGAAAGGAGGAATGAAACGCCCCTGTAGCTAGCAGGGCCTCTGCTGACTCTTAGGGGCGCTTTCAGTCCCAGTTATCTTATATGTCCATGTTTTGTGAAGTCAGCATTGTATTCTGTATACTGTTTGTCAGTATATTTGTAATAGCTTTCCATGCCAATTAGACCAACTTCCTGTGGTTTTTACTGGCAACGGAGTACCATCACTTAGCTGTGCTGTGATTTATTGGATCCGTTTTGAAAATTGGTCCTTCTAGAGTTGTCAACCGTGCATTGCGGTCAGAATCATGAACTTAATGCAGGGAGAAAGGGCATCTTCTCCAGGTGGGGAGTGGCTGGCATCAGTGTATGTGGTCAGGAGCACTGCTGGCCAGCTGGCCTCAGGAAGCCCTCACATCCCCTGGCAGTGGTGTGTAGGCCGTGGCTGAGCGGTCCTTGGGGTACCCAGTCTGCCACTGTGACAGAACTGTACCCTGTTACCCGCTGAACCTGTGGGGGCAAAGTGTCCATGTTCACCCACTTCTGCCAGCACCCCGGTCCGTGTGGCTTACAGATGGCGGGGGCAGGGGGACCAGTGAGGCCACGCTGCTTTCCTCCACAGTGTGCTTCCTCTGACTGAGACTGCTGTCCAGACAGGTGGTGTCCTGTGTCATTCTCCTCATGGCTGAGTGCCCCATGGTCACCCTGCACTTACGAGGTATTCTGCCCCAAGTGGCTGGTGGCTACAGCGGTGCCCTGGAGACTCCTTCCTATAAACGTGGGGTTTTCACATTCTTGTTGGCTTTTTCCTTCATATGAAATTATCTTCCTTTGCAATTTTATTTAAGTGTAAAACCCAAACCAAACAGAGTGTGGAGTGGACTCGGACTTGTGTGTATCAGTAGAACTGCATTCCGTAGAGTTTTCATCGATTCAGTGTTTAGAAATTGTTCGCCAGAACTTTCATTCACGGTACCTCTGGGTAGTTAGACCCATACAGCCTAACGTGTAACATTTTCACCACAATGGACTCTGTTTCATTATAAAGAATTCGCATAGGCTGTGGCCACGCTACCCTGAATGTACCTGATCTGGTCAAAAAGTTACAGTTCTCCAAAGTCTCAGCTGCACACCCCAAATCCCAAATTCATATTTCTCCAAAGTCAGTCATCTCTTTCAATGTTTCTAGCAGTCTTTCTCTTATTTGCTTCCATATTTGTAAGTTCTGTGAGTCCTGGTGTGGCACAGTAGGATAAGCACTGGACCGTAAAGTCATTTGAATTGCTAGGTCAGCAGTTCAAACTCCCCAGCCGTTCTTCGGAAACCCTATACAGGGTCACTATGAGTCGGAACCAGTTTGACGGCAGTTAACAACAACAACATGTGTGTGCAGGAGTCTTGGTGTCGGCAGCTGCTTCTCAGAATCTCTGTACAGCTGTGAGTTGGAGCTGACTCGATGGCACTTAACAACAGCACCGATCCTTGGTGTCTCTGGTTTTAGGTGTGTTGTTATAAATGAGACAAGACTAAAATTCTTTGAGCATGAAAACTCTAATAGACACATAGACCACACGTGGGCAGAATGCCATGGACACGTGCCAGCAGGCATGTGATTCAAGCTGAAACTCTTGTGTGTATTTGTCCCCTTTGGTGATATAGATGTGGGAACTTATGTGTGTATTTACCCCTTTGATAGTACAGATATGTCAGCTAAATGTCATCAAGAGAGTCATAGGTGGCACCTGAGCAACAGATGCCCAGAGAGGCACCCAGTCAAGAATTGCAGGTTTCTTTGGGAGGTCCTCTCACGTTACGTAACAGCAATTGCTCAAGACTTGGGAATCTTCCCAGACTCCTTTGTTCACATATTAAATAACAAGTTGGCGTTGGCAATGAATATGAACACAAGTTTGTATGCCGCACAGAATAAGGATGATATTGTTGTGAACATCCTTAACTGAACCCTTATCAAATCAGTCTACCTAAAGGTATTTTAGGGTGCAGATCTGCAGCTTTTTGCCCATATGGAGGGTGGGGCATCCCCTTTCTCTCCTTTTAAAAACTTCTTTAGCTAATTATGAAGATTTATGTTTCTAAAGACAAGCTCTTACACTGCACTTCTTAGATTTATTAGCACAGAAGCCCATAGAGCTCAACATTACTAGGAGTTGGAGGAAGCAGCCCCATCTCTCCTCATCCTCCATCACTCACCTCTCCTCATCTTCCATCATCCACCTCTCCTCATCCCCCATCATCCACCTCTCCTCATCCCCCATCATCCGCCTCTCCTCATCCTCCATCACTCACCTCTCCTCATCTTCCATCATCCACCTCTCCTTATCCCCCATCATCCACCTCTCCTCATCCTCCATCACTTACCTCCTCATCTTCCATCATCCACCTCTCCTCATCCCCCATCATCCACCTCTCCTCATCCCCCATCATCTACCTCTCCTCATCCTCCATCACTTACCTCTCCTCATCCGTTCACCAATGCTCCACATTTCTCCATCTTCTAGCCATCACCCCCTTTTCACACATCCTATTGTCCTGTCTTTTGATTTTGCAAGTCTATTAAATGACACAAGACATTATTTTTGTTTTGTGTAATTAAAATTAACTTAGATTTACCCATATTTTACCTTGTTTTCTGTTTTTTTGTTTCTCTGTCTTTCTGATTTTTCAAGGGGATCTATTTCTGTTTGGTTTTATGCCCAAAGATCAGTCTTTAGCATTTTATATAGTTTATGTTTGCTGGTGATAAATTCTGTTTATTTGTCTTAAAGTGTACTTTATTAACCTTCAGTCTTAAAGGACATATTTTGCTTGGCATAGAACTCCAGGTTGATAATTTATTGATTAATTTATATATATAAGAGATTTTTTTCCACTTTTGTTTAAAAGTTATATGCCAGTCTACTGATTAGTCTGTTAAAAGTTGTCTGTTACTTTTTTCTGGTTTTTAAAAAAGATTGTGTTTTTCTCTTTGGTTTTCAAGATTCTGGAGTATAGTTCTTCTATAGTCTGTAGTTGGATATTTTCTTTCCTGTTAGTGTTAGAGAAATGAGCCATTATCTTTAGAAATACTGCTCTTCTCCTATTTTCTCCTCCGTCTACTTCTGTGACTCCAATTCTCCCTAAATTGTTGTTGTTAGGTGCTATCGAGTTGACACCAACTCCTAACACAACAGAACAAAACACTGCCCGGTCCTTGGCCAACCTCACAATCATTGCTGCTACCACTGTGCCAGTCCATCTCATTGGGGTCTTCGTCTTTCTCTCTGAGCCTCCACTTTACTGAACATGATGTCCTTCTCCAGGGACTGGTCCCTTCGGACAATATGTCTGAAGTATGAGAGACGAAGCCTGGCCATCCTGGCGTCACCATCTCAATTTAATCATGTCATTTGTGTTCTGTAATTTCCATGGTTTCTGTCTCTGTACTTCAGTTGGGAGAGTGTCTTTGAGCTGTCTTCCATATCATTAATTCTCTCTTCAGCTCTTTCTAAATTGTTGTTAGGTACCATTGAGCTCCTTTCTACTCACAGTGACCCTGTGCACAACAGAATGAAACACTGCCATGTTCTGCCCCAGCCTCAGTATTGTTGATCTGCTGTTAACCCTATCAATTGAATTCTTAATTAGGGGTTTTATCTTCTCATCAACATTTGTTTGTTTATTTTTAATGGTTTACAAGGTTGACAGGGTCAGTGGTACTGATAGTATCAATAGTTTCCGTGTCTTTATCTTAATATTAAATAATTGTTTTCACCTTCTTGAACATGCTAAACACATTTTAAAATCTGTGTCTAGTAATATTATTTAGAGCTTCTGTGGTTTTGTTTCCAAAGTTCTGGATATTATATATGTAAAGTTGTAGAAATATGAGGAGGTTTTAAAAAGTTTGTGGACAAATAGAATTGAAAGAGAATGGAATTTTGACCAATCATATAAAAAGAGAATCACGTTTGGTGGAACAGAGGGCCGGGAGAATGAAGGAAGCCCCTCCATAGGAGGGTGGACACAGTAGCCTCAATAGTGGTCTCAGGCTTACCAACAACTAAACAGATGGTACACACCCTCAAACGTCAGCTCCTGAAGAGTCTGAACAGATTAGACAATTAACAACAAAAATGGTGAAATCTGTAAAAGAAACAAAAATACTGGAATTTCCCTCCAACTTTTAGAAACCTCCTCCTACTTTGAGGCCTAGGGACGTTCTCCGATTCCAGAGACACTTGACACTGGCTTCTGGTGGAGGTGGGGTTGCTGCCAGTCAGGACCACCTGATCAATTTCAGGATGAGAAAGGATCGGTGTGCTATCATTCAGCTGAGCTGCCTGCGAACACATTTCTAGGCTGTGGCTCCTGGCCTCAGAACCCATTGTGAGGATGTGTTTGTCCAGTAGTATAGGACCTCTTAGCATCCTAGGGTTTGAAGGGCCTCATTTGAGATCACAGATGTACTTTGTCCTCTCCCATTTCTGTTTGTAACTCCTTATTTTCATGAAAGTTTCCCAGTGGCTTTAAGCAGGTGTTTGCTTTTAATTTCGCCCATCTTTTTTTTAATTTTTTTAAATGGTGTCTTAACTTCAGAGTTGGCCAATTTGCCTCATTTGTTACTTAAAAAAAAAACTTTTATATTCAATAATTATAGACTTACAGGAAATTGTCAAATTATAGACGCCTGTGTATCCAGCTTCCTTCAGTGGTGACGTCTTAAATACTCATACAGTGTCAAAGCCAGAAAACTGACTTTGGGACCACCGCAGACCTCATGCAGTTTCATCAGGCTTTGCAGGCATTCGTGTGCATGGGGTCCTGACCGCCACCTGAGGGGACACAGCTGCCCCATCTGCCATCACTATTAGGGAACTCCACCATGCTGGTTCTCGATACTCACACCCATCATGCCCCTGTCCCCACCGCATTCTGTCATTTAGAGGGTGTGATTGAAGTGAATTCTTAGGGTACGTAACCCTCTGAGGTGGCCTTTCTCATGAACACTGTGCCCTGGGTCCATGTAGGTTGTTCAAGTACTATTGTACATTTTTCATTCCATTGTTTGGTTGTACCTGAGTTTGTTTTAGACTTCACTCATGAAAAGACATTTGAGCTTTTTCCAATCATGAATAAGGTTGCCAAGAACATTAGTGAACAATTTTTGTATGAACATAACTTTTCATTTCTCTCAGATCCGTGCCTGAGTCCACCCTGAGTCATACTGTAAGTGTGCGCTTAGTTTTCTGAGAAGCTGCCCGACTTTCCAGGGTGACTGGACCTCTGGACGTCCCACACACAGGCCACGTGAGACACCTTGGCCAGCTTCCTCCCAGCACTGGGTGTCATCGCAGCCTTTTGTATTTACCGTTTGGACAGGCGTGTACTAGTGTCTCCTAGTATTTTGTGTTTACCACTTGGACAGATGTGTATTAGTGTCTCCTAGTATTTTGTGTTTACTGTTTGGACAGGTGTGTACTAGTGTCCCCTAGTATTTTGTGTTTACTGTTTTGACAGGCGTGTAGTAGTGTCCCCTAGTATTTTGTGTTTACTGTTTGGACAGGCGTGTACTAGTGTCCCCTAGTGTTTTGCATTGTGTTGACGTTAGACGTCTTGGCATGTCCTTGCTTTTGTCTTGCATGTAAAATTTACGTGCAGGCCAAGTCTCTTAAGAAAACTACTTTTAACAGCAGTGTTGCCATGCATTTTCCAGTCTTTAAAACACTGTTGTTCAGTATAGAGTGGCATTTTCTTAGGAGCAGACAGATTAAGCCATAAAATAACATCTGGAATATTCCAATGTAATCATATGTAGGGGAATTTGACATCAAACAAGTTATTTCTGGTGTGGTGCCGTAGGATAAGCACTAGACTACAAATCCCAGGGTTGGAGGTTCAAACTCACCAGCTGCTCCTCGGAAACCCTATACAGAGTCAATATGAGTTGAGACCAACTCTATGGCACTTAACAGTAAGTTAACCCCAAGGTTGGTTGTTTAAACGCACCAGTCCCTTCTCAGGGTCGCTATGAGTCAGAATTGATTAAACGGCACTTACAAACAACTATATCTGTACCTCACACATGTAGAAAGATAAATTTTGGATGAATTCAAAGTTGTTATAAAATTAAAATTAAAAATCTCCAAAGGAATTTTAGGAGATACTTAGGGATAATGTAGGCTCCTAAAATAACATCTTCATTTGGGAATTTAAAATATTATATAAAAATAAAAAGACACAGGGTAATGAGCGCTGTATGACCAGTCTTGTAGGATCTGTTCACCCTAAGGGTCCCAACTCTAGAGTACTGTAAAGAAAGCTCCCAAATAGCATGTCCTTACTGTCTCGGTCTGGCAAGGCCCTTTTCCGATGCTACATGACCTTACAGTGTTAACAACAGTTCCAACAGCTAGAAATATGCCCAGCTGTTATGCTTGTCTGTATAAATATTAAAACTTTGTTATGGAGGATTATGTCCCGTATGGAGTCGTTGGTGGCACAGTGACCAAGTGCCTGAATGTTAACCAAAAGGTCGGCACTTTGAACCCAGCAGCTGCTCTGAGGGAGGAAGCACCTGGCATCTGTTCCCATGACGGTGACAGTCCAGGGACCCTTGGGGAGCAGTTCGACTCTTGTCTTATAGGCTCCTTGTGAGTCAGAATCAACTCAGAAACACACAACACCTACAACGTCCACGGATTCCCTGGGTGTTGCCAAAGGGTGCTGGTTTGAAGCCACCACCCGGAAGCCACCCGTGACGATGACAGCCTTGGAGACCCCCTGGAGCAGGTCCACTCTGTGTTGGCCTTGGTACGGCAGCAGTTGACAGTGTTCCGTATGTTGTATACGAACAGTCAGCTGACAAAATGCAGATTTAGAGAGAATCATACTCCAGTTGAAGGATCACAAAGTCAGTCGTGGTAGCAAAGACTCCTTAAAACTGCCAATAGAGAAATAGTAAAGAGAGATCCAGGCATTCCACACACGAGCAAACCCAGTGAGGATAGGTCCTCTCCCTGTAATCAGGGAGATGTAAATCTAGTAACAATGGCAGAACAATCTTTAGCTTCCAAATTGTTACGAGACTCGTGTGGCCAGAGATGGATGAGGGGCCTCCCTGGTGAACTAGGAACTGTTAGTCTTTCTAGATTGCCATCTGGTTACTATCTGTTAGGACTAAACTGCCTATGGCCCCCTGTCCAGCAGCCCCACGGCTAGAAACCTGGACCCCAGTGGCCAATGATGGGCAGTGTGTATACTGCATGGGTGTTGGCTGACACCATGCTTTCAGTTCCTAACCACTGGACACATACTGACCAGACCAGTATGAACACCTGACAGTGAGAGGTGTGCACTGTGCCTGGGCGTCCACTGTCCAGTGGGCCTGGGCAGGGCCATGTTTCTGGTCATGGACAGTGTGGCTATGAGCTACGAGGAGCGGTGGCGGGATCCTTTAGGCTGTTTCAGTGCTCATGTGACACTGGTGACTACATGTCAGCCGCATTGACGAGGGTGCTGCTGTACCACTCAGACAGAGCCACCAACTAGGAGGACAACTTCGTCTGCTGCTGTAGCGTGACCTGTGAGCGTGGGAGTGGCCAGCTCTGCCTGTGCTCACAGGAAGAGTATCTGGGACGTGTGGGCAGCATGTTAGGGAGGGAGGATGCTGAGTGTGAGCAGAGTGGCTGTAATCGTGGACTCCCATTCGTCCACTGAGGAGGGTCAGCTGGAGCCCACACTCACCCTGCTGTTGAGGGCAGTTGTGTATCAGCTCTCACGGTCGTAGTTGTTTTCTGTGGGGTGGGCTGGCCTGCGTAACCGTGTCCATTGGAGCCCTGCCTGTGGAAGTTTCCTTATTTAATAAGTCGTCAACACTGCCATCCAGCTGGGGAGGAATGTGCCAGAACTTTCAGCACTGCTGCTGAGCCCTGGCCCAGCCCCTCAAAGCGGCTAGCTTGGTCATCTGCACCCCAGGAGTGCACACAGCAGCGAAGGAGGTTTGCAGGAGGTTAGAAGCAGTCACAAGCCAGGGGTCTACGATGCTCAGGATCTTCTGCCGTAGCTGCTCCAGGTCTGCATGCAGTGTGTGCCTCGAGGCCTCTCAGTTCAGGGGACAGCTGGTGCCCAGGTGGTTAGGGACATCCTGGGTCAAGGCACAAAGCTGAGGTCTGAGGCCGGTGAGGTCCACCTCCTGCCTCCCATAGCGGGGTGCACTTGGAAGATAACACTGTTTATCCTTCCCCCTAGTGTGCATTCTGATAGAAAACCTGTCGCTTTCCAAAATGCCATTTAAAGGCGATGCCCTAATTGGTAAGTACTTTTTCTTGAATGACCCACTTTGAATCAGATGTGAAAGTGAATGTTAAAGTGTATTAACAATGGTGTTTAAAGTTTCATGGTAGTAGAATACGTTGTTTTGAAATTGTTATATTAAACGTGCCCCAATAATGAGCCTCCTCCCCCAAAAGGGAGTATCCTGGAAGTCAGGTGCTTTCCTCAGTACCCGGCCTGAACTCACGTCCACCGAGAGCTAGGTGCTGACTTGCCTGAGAACATGCTCTGTGGTTGTTGTTCTTAAGAGAGCTGTGCTAGGTCCAGACACTGTCCCCATGTGGACCCAGACCCCTCCCTGTGTTCCCATGGGGTCTGGGCAGAGAAAACAGTGAGGAGGGGGTGCCCCACATCAGCCTCGTAAGGGCCCCTTCAGAAACCCTGTGACTCTTTTGTGTCACAGGAGAGACATCTTGGCTCTGATTGAGGTGAATGTTTGGGATTTGTTGGTGGTGCAAGGGGTGATGGTTTGAGGTGGTAGAGCTAGCAGAAAAATTTCCCAAACTTTAGTGTTTCAAATTATTAAATTTATTGAATTCTATTATTTCACATGGTCACAGTGTTAACCATTTCATGAGGCCTTCTCCCTTTTAATCAAGTGATCTGGAGATGTGTGTGCAGTCTGGAAAATGTCTCCTTGAGGATTTCCCAGGATGCACCTCAAAGGCTGCCCCCAGCATTGATTGAAGAGGAGGAGGGGGTCCTGTTTGCTATCGGGTGCATTTCCTTTGTTTCCAATAGAAGGCTGGCAGTGGCTCATCAGTGATACCCTACGGAGTCTCCACTTGGTCTCCAGTCACTCCCGACAGAAGGTCAAGGTGAGGGGCGCATCTCGGGAATTGAGTGATGCCAGTAATTTCTTGCAGAGTTTGTTTTGTAGAGCTGTGTGCCCCAGGAATCCCTTTCATGTGTCAACATGATGATTGATAACAACCACGATGATGTTTGCAATTCTCAATGACATCATCAGCCTCACTCATATTTGGAAGTCTCTGGTAGCCATTGGTGACCAGAATTGTCATTTTTGATTTCCGATTCTGACTTTCATCACTTGACTTTCCAAGCACGTTTCCTCCACACTGACAGGACTGAGTCTTCAGCTGAAGGAGCACAGTGTTTGGCTGTGGAATGTTAGGGCTGGAGGCCACGAACAAACGAAGCTATCGTTCGGACGAGTGAGCGTGCACAGCGGAATGTGGGTACCGTGTGCTCCCTGGGGCTGAGCAGACACACAGTGTTCCCTTCTGACTAGGTTGTCTGCCATGCTCGTGCACACTGATTAGGTTTTGACAGTGAGGATGAACAGGTACGAGTGTACCGAGTGTCATCATTTCTAGCCGCCTGTGTCTCTTACATTTACCTGGTTAATAATCTGTGCGGTGCGAGCAGTTTGGCTAGTTGCCTCATTATCAGCACCTCACAGTTCTTTTTACAAAATACCTATGACTGGATCACCCCCCAGTGATCCTTGGTGGCTGCTCCTTGAACTTGTTGGGGAGCAGCTCCGGTTTCCCGTCCCGTGTGCATGAGGACCACATGACCTACGTGGACAGAGTCTGAACTGGGCCAGGAATGAGCTGATGACCGTGGCAGGGGCTGACAAAAGCTTTTGCCAGGACTCATTCCTGGTGGTCCCCTGGCCCAGGACACAGAGGCCCGAGATACGAGAGTCAGTACCAGGCATTTCTCTTCAATGGTAACTTCATTGCCGGAGCTTCTCTTGCATCCTTGAGGCGCTTCATCTCCTAAAGCTTCCTGGAACCCACGGCCCCATCTCTGTTTCAGGAGACTGCTGTTTCAGCGCTGGCTGCACTGTGTGGCGAGTACTACGTGAGGGAACCAGGAGAGGCAGAGCCTGCTATACTGGGTGAGTGAGAGGAAAGGCGGAGCCCCCGCTTGGTTCCTGTGATGTGAAGGTTCTCGACTACACTGGGAAGTTCCTGTGAGATATCCAGGACCACCGTGTTGTGTCCATGCAGGAAGTGCCCAGAGGGATCACATGCCAGTCAGCTCTGCATGGCCTCTCACACCCAGACCAAGTGTAGCGTGCTCGAGTGTGTCCCTCCTGACTATCAACACCATTGCACCTAAACCACAGGCTGTTTGGGATGGCCTCTTTTGGTAGGAGAGGTGATGGAGCCAACCCTCAACATGTGTTTGTCACCATTCTCCCCAACCCCTGGACCACCAGCTCTAACTGGGGCCTAATATGAGGACTGGAGGTTGGGACCATGTTCCTGGGGAGCAGGGCCCTGGGGTGACAGCCTCCAGGCAATGTGTGGGCAAGCTAGCAGAGGAGAGGCACCCCGTAAAGGCATGGGCGTGTGAAGGTGGGCTGCTCAAAGGCCCTTTCTCTGCTTCTGATGAAGTCTTCATGTCAGTGCTGGGTTAGCTTTTTCTGGAACACGGTGACTGTCTCTGTACTGCCTTGTTGTTATTGTTGTTGTTATGTGCCGTGGAGTTGGTTCCGACTCATAGTGACCCTGTACAGAGTTTATGGGAGCAGAAAGCCTCATCTTTCTCCCACGGAAGAGCTGGTAGTTTCGAACTGCTGACCTTGCGATGTACAGCCCGATTCGTAACCACTATGCTACCAGAGCTCCTTTAGTGTGTGGCTATGGAGGCAAAATTACTGTAAGGCTGCCACTGAAGTATCTGTATAAACAGAATTTCTACTTGATTTTTCTATGCCAACATAGGACCCTAAGTAGCACAATTCATACCTTGTTGAAATGAAAACAACAGTTTGGAGGCTACACGTGCATGGTGTCTGGCCTCTTCCTCAATCTGCTCTGTGTTGAAAGTGCAGTGTGATCACACCGCTGACTCCCCACCCCTGGCTGACATGACAGCACCTCACACTGTGCCCTTGTTTCCCATGTCTCCCCCTCACACGCTCAGCTCTGCTCTGATGACCATTCCCATCGAAGTGCGCCTTCGGTTCTCTCCCGTTCTCCCAGTGAGCCCCCGTACTTTCTGGCCCTGCGCTGGTGGCCGCATCTGCCCTCAGTCCTTGAGGAAATGCTCTTCAGGAGGAAGATGCTGTTGCCACACAAGCATCCATCTGCTTAGTGAAGCAAAGGGAAAACTGGGGACACACTTACCATTCTCATCACCCTTTTGGATAGATTTTTCAGAAGAACGCAATCATGTAGTTAAATTCATGTATCAAAACAGTAAGATCACCTTCCAAGGTTCTCTGACATCTCACTGGACGTTTGCCACCTTTAGAAACCGTGATGGCCCTCCCTCCCATCTTTGCTCCTTTCGCAGGGTGCCGGGAGTCGTGCGTGGCTTCCGGCAGCAGTGGCCCTTCACGCTCTGCTCCATCTTGCAGATGCACTAATGCAGCAGTACCTTGCTGAGCTCCGGAGCCCTGAGGAGATGACACGATGTGGCTTTGCACTGGCCTTGGGGGCCCTTCCCCACTTTCTCCTGAAGGGCAGACTGCAGCAGGTGAGGCGAGCTACCCGAGACATGGGGTTGGGTGTGGGCGGCTTTGTGCAATGCGGGGCGGGTGGGTCATGAGGGGGCTTGGTGAAAAGCACCCCACGTGAACAGGAAGAGAGCGCCCGGGAGACGGTGGTCTCTGGAGCCCGGTACACTCTGACCTGGAGGTGTGAGGTCACAGCAGTGCTGTCTATCCAGGAGCAGCGTCTGCGCGTCACTGAGAACTGCGGGCTCTCTGGGACGTGGTTTAGGCGAGGCTGGCTGGAAGGCAGGTCAGGGCACTGAGGACAAGTGTCACAAGCACCCTCCATGTGGGGGGCTGGAGGAAGGCGAGTGCCTCTCAGCACATCGGTGGGACCTGGTATCTCGCTCGCCCCGCTGTGACCAGTACAGTCCACACAGGCCTGGAGGAGGGGCAGCCCTGGCACTGCCCATCTGGAACAAACCCCTCGACTCCTCACACCGCTCTGGTGGGACATCTGGCAGCAAGAGCGGCTGGGACACCAGTGGGTGGGCAGGGCGACCCTGTTGAGGGGGGCCGATGGCACCTAGAAAGCAGTCTTCCCGGAGTTCTGGACCACGTCGTCACTGCACTAATGGGACGCTGTACAGCCGATGGTTCTGACTACTGTTTTCTGCGTCCAGATCCTGGCAGGTCTGAGAGCCGTCACCCGCATCTCCCCCAAGGATGCGAGCTTCGCTGAGGCCAGAAGAGACAGCTTGAGGGCCATTGCTCGGTGAGTCTCGGCATGGCTCCTAAAGTGACTGCTTCCTGAGTTCAGGGGTCAGGGGGTGCCTGTGTGCCTGGGGCTGGCTTGTTTGTTCTAGAAGCCAGTCAGAAGCTGTTGGAGACGAGCTTTGTGACTTTATTGTCTCGACAGACGATTGTTCAGGAGTGTTCTTGAGTCCTAGAGGCTCACAGACAGCTGCCTTTGGTGTGGTTTTAGCCAGTTGTGAGCTCGCCTCTTTTTGGGAGGGGCCTTTTCTCTGCCTGCAGAGTAGTTTGTGCTTAGGAGACAGACTGTCCCTTCGCATGCTGCCACCAATGTGAGCCCATGTGTGCTGGGGCAGGAGGGTGGCAGAGAGCTCCACCTTCAGACGGCCGGATGCAGAGGTGGCAGGGTAGAGCTGTGCATGTTTGCCCCGGAGGGGACACTGATCTGAGGCCCCGGCCCCAAGCGAGTCCTGCTTGGAGAGACAGTGACTGCTTGTTATTTCAGGATTTGCCAGACAGTCGGCGTAAATGCAGAAGGCGTCCCCGATGAGGTTGTGTGTGAGGCGAATGTTCCCCAGATTTACAGCACGCTGCTCGACTGCATGAACGACTATACCACCGACAGCAGGGGCGATGTAGGAGCGTGGTGAGCATCCCACACCGTGTCCCTACCCCATAGCCCCCAGTCAGGATCCCCTCCCCTGTGCCGTCAGACAAAGCACTCGGTCACTGATTTCTTTCTCCTCTCCACTGGAAAAGCCAACGTTATAAAATACAGATCGGACTACCAGTCCATTTCTGACAAAGCCACAAGTAAGAATTCAAGGACCCCCAAAGTGTATTTGATTGGAGTCTAGTGGGGCAGCCCAGGAGGAAGGTGAAGTCTCACTCCCACACCGTCTGCCCCGCAGGGTTCGCGAAGCCGCAATGACCAGTCTGATGGAGCTGACGCTCTTGCTGGGGAGAAGCCGGCCGGAGCTGATAGAGGCTGACATGTATGTGCAGACCCCGCTTCTCTATCTGGGGTGGGGGGGAGCCTCTTGGAGCTGGGACAGGCCAGTGATGGCTGCATTAGTAACGGGCCTGTGTCCCCTCGGCAGCTGTAAGCAGGTCCTCTGCTGCGTAGCCCAGCAGGCCAGCGAGAAGATCGACCGAGTCCGCGCCCACGCGGGCCAAGTGCTCCTGACGCTACTGCACTTCGACAGCCCCCCACTCCCTCACGTGCCCCACCGAGAGCAGCTGGAACAGATCTTCCCGAGGTGCTGTGGGCGCCCCCACTGCCCTGCAGGTGGCCTGGCTCCTCCACAGCTACGTGCTGACCCCACCTTCTTGCAGGTTGGACGTGGCCGCTGTAAACTGGAACGCACCATCCCAGGCATTCCCGCGTATCACCCAACTCCTGGGGCTGCCGGCCTTCCGCTACCACGTGCTACTGGGGCTGGCCGTGTCTGCTGGGGGGCTGACAGAGACCACGGTGAGGGAGGATGTGTGTGGGGTGGTGTGGCAGATAGACCCAGAGGTCAGCCCAAGGGGCCATCTCCAGAAGCCTGCTCGCTCTCACTTTGGGGAATGACTGGTTTGGGGTAGGAAGTGGGGTCAGGGGACTGGACTCCATGAAGTTGGGGGCTCTGTATGGAGGCTTGGTAACGGGGCTTGGGATTCTGCCAGAGACCCAGAGGACAAGTCAAAGTTTGGTTTCTGTTTCTCCAGAACATCACAGATTGTTTTCATTGTAAATGATCTTGCTATGCAGCGACAGTTAATGTTTCTTAAACTTTGCATTTAGGAAAATTTGAAATATACACAAAGTGGAGAAGTGATCCCCTGATGATCTTCAGGGTCCCCCATGGATGAATCTGCCAGTCTTACTTCAGTTACTCCCCCAGCCCCCCATTCATACCCACATGTGCACAAAGGTGTTTTCATGGACTGTTTTACAGTCCACTCCAAAAACCCTGTCATTTCACCTGTAATGATTTCCCATGCCTCCTGTGTCCCACTTGAGGGAGACCCCATGCTCCTCTCCCATCTCCCCCACCTCCACTCTGCTGTGCACAGTGAAGCCCCACCTTTGTCTCACTCTAGCCCACACTCTGGACTTGTCATGTCCTGGGTCCTGTAAGCACTGCCTCAGTGACAGGGCGGGGGGTCTCCTTGGAACAGTGGGCCTGCTGTGTGAGCCAGGGTGTCTGCATGCCATCCTCTTGGGGCCCGAGTCCTGGCTCTGTATCTAGACCCCACTTCTCTGTCTTTCGGTGGGCAGGTTCAGTGTAGTTTTATTGATGGTGATTTTCCACATATTTGGAATTGTCCTGCCAGCTGTTTCCTGCACCTCGTCCTGCGGCGTGTTTTCTTGTTTTTGGGGTAATTTCTGTGCTGCTTTGGCAATTACACAGCCTCTTACAGGTCTGAACCTTATAAAGTTATCACCACAGTATCTGGTATCTTCTAGAGGCAGAGGGCTGGTTGCTGTGGTCTCCTCTGTCTACCTCCTTACCACCCTGGGGACGCTCTGCTGGCCTCTTGAAGTGACCATCTGCTGAACTCAGCCCCACTCCGCTGCACCTGCCTCCTGCACCGCCCCCTCCAGACGGTCCCCCAGCATGCTGGGCCCGTTCCTCTGCAGCGAGTCCCTGGCCAGGAGACGCCCACATTCAGTTACCTGTGAAAGTCTGTATCTTGAAAGAGAAGTTGGCAGACAGTGTTCAGTCCGAGGGTCCCTGTGTTTGAGGTGCATGTCCATGCATGCAGCCTCACAGTCACTGTGCTCCCTGTTCCTACTGCACCCGCGTGGGAACCTTTCTTTTCTGTCCTCACGGCTGGTGGTCCTTGACATTCTCACGCTGATGAATTAAGCACGGCTTTCTTGTCATTTGCCCTGTTTGGGCCTTGCTCTCGGAGACAGTGGACTCGTGTTTCATCGCTGTGGAGAATCCCTAGCCTCCTGCCTCCAAGTGTGGCCACCTCAGGGCTCATCACCGTGGCGCCTGCCTCCTCTCCTCGAGTTTCTCTTTTTGATGTTCCAGATGTTCTCCACATGTTCCTCCCGCTGCTTTCAGTACTCTGACACTTGTCTCCTCCCCGTGTTTGGGTTTGGGTTAACTATGAATTTGTACACAGTCCCTTTGTTTCAAATCTGTTTCTCATCCTACTTGTAATTGCATTTAAAAAAGGAAGACAAATGCAGTTTTCTGTATCGTGTCTTGTAATTCTGATGTCTGCCGTCAGGGGGCGCGGCCCATTCATCAGGGCTCAAACTGAGCTCGGTGGTGAGACGCTGTTGATGTTAATGCGTCAGGGAGAGGCCCACTCTTCCTCCACGTCAGCATCACCCCCACCCCATCACTGTAGCTGCTGGGTCTAGTGTCAGGAGTCCAGTTCCTGGCTGCCTCTCAGTCTCCAGCTACGATGCCCAGACCCAGCGCCCTACTGCCCGCATGCTTGTCTCAGAGTCTGGGGCATTGTCTTTGGAAGGCTGGATCTCAGTGAGCAGCCATCATGTTGGGGGCGGGGGCGCTCACAGAGTCTTGTCACAACATCCAGCCCTCAGCCTCACTGCAGACCCATGATGGTGTGGGGGGCGTCCCGTGTGTGCCCGGCACCCTTGTGTAGGCTGCCTCTGTCCTGAAGCCCACAGCTTTCTCAGCCCTAGAGCCAGTATCTCCTGGTGCATCTCCGAGGAGCCTTTACAGAGCGTGTGTTTTAGGTCAGGTACTCAACGCAGAGTCTGTGCGAGCACATGAAGAGCATCGAGAAGGACCCACAGGCCATGGCGGCCTTCAGCACAACCCTCCTGCAGCTCTTTGAGGACCACCGTTTGAATGACAGGTAATTTGTATGCTTCGGGGAGCTCAGGAGCCAGATGACATGGATGGTTAGTCAGCCACTGGAGTGTGTGCTTGCTGATCTCAGTCTCAGTGGGTTGTACCCAGGCCAGCGCATGAGGTGGACACAGTGGGACTAAGGGCCTTCTAGTGCCAGCGGGAGGCTACACTATGGACGGACAGGGTGAAACACTGACGTACACATGGTCACGTGAGGAGGCAGGTCAAGTAGAATGTGGCTCCCTCTTCATGACACGTCCACCATGGCGGGAGGGCGGGCCAGCAGCACCTGGACTACACGCAGCAGATCAAGGCCGCTGGCTAAATGGGACTCACGTGCCCAGGCTGTGTGAAAGACCTGGACTGGTTCTGTGGGAGCTGCTTTTCCACAGAGGCAGAGTGTGATCTCCAAGGCCCATCTTCTCAGTTGTGGTGATCATTCCCTGCTTGGCCTCCTACGGTGGGTGTGCCGGCATGGCTGTCTCTGGGACGTGAAGTCAGACAGGTCTCAGTCATCCGTGCCCAGCCCTGTGGCTGAGGCTCTGCCCCAACGGGCCTCGTGGGTGGCGACACAGACTGGTTTTCTCCTTTTTTTTTTTTTAAGTACACTATTCTAATAACCGACTCGAGGGCACTTAACAACAACAACAACATTCTAATGATACTGAAGGAGGAAGGCCAAGGTGCACTGAAGGAATTGGCAAAGAACAAGGCACCAGGAATTGATGGACTACAAATTGAAATCTTTCAAGAAAGTGAGGTGGCACAAGAGGCACTCACTCATCTCTGCCAAGAAATTTGGAAGACAACTATCTGGCCAACTGATTGGAAGAGATCCGTATTTGTGTCCATTTCAAAGAGGTGACCCAACAGAATGTGGAAATCGTCAGACAATCTCTTTGATATCTCATGCGAGTAAAGTTTTACTAAAGGTAATACAGAATCTGCTACAATCATACATTGACAGAGAACTTCCAGAGGTTCAGGCGGGATTCAGAAGAGGCCGTGGAACGAGGGATATCATTGCTGATGTCAGATGGATCTTGACTGAAAGCTGAGAATACCAGAAAGATGTTTACCTGTGCTTTAATGACTGTACAAAGGCCTTTGATTGTGTGAAGCATGATACACTATGGACAACATTGCAGAGGATGAGTATTCCTGAATACTTAATTATGCTTATGAGGAACTAGTACATGGACCAAGAGGCAGTTGTTCAAACAGAACATGGGAACACTGAATGTTTTAAAATTAAGAAAGGTGTGCGACAAGGTTGTATTCTTTTACCATACTTATTCAACCTGTATGCTGAGCAAATAATCCAAGAAGCTGGGTTACATGAAGAAAAACGTGGCATCAGAATTGAAGGAAGACTCATTAACAACGTGTGATATGCAGATGATACAACCTTGCTTGCTGAAAGTGACGAGGATTTAAAATACCAATGAAGATCAAAGGCCATAGCCTTTGGTATGGATTGCATCACAATGTAAAGAAAACAAAAATCCTCACCACTGGACCAATACATAACATTCTTATCAATGGAGAAAAGATTGAATTTGTCAAAGACTTCATTTTTTTTTGGCTCATCCATCAACACTCAGCAGCAGTCAAGAAATCAAACGACGTATTGCATTGGGCAAATCTGCTGCACAGGAACTTTTTAAAGTGTTGAAGAGCAAAGATATCAGGTTGAGGACTAAGGTGCACCTGACCCAAGCCATGGTATTTTCAATAACCTCATATGCATGCGAAAGCTGGACAGTGAATAAGGAAGATCGTAGAAGAATTGGTGTTTTTGAGTTATGGTGTTGGAGGAGAATATTGAAAGTGCCATGGGCTGCCAAAAGAACCAATAGATCTGTTTTGGAAGACGTGCAGCCAGAGTGCTCCTTGGAGGCCAAGATGGCCAAACTTCATCTCTCATACTTTGGACATATTGTCAGGAGGGAGCAGTCTCTGTAGAAGGACCTCATGTTTGGTAAGGTAGAGGGTCAGAGAGGAAGAGGAAGACCCCCGACGAGATGGATTGGCCAAGTGGCAGCATCGATGGACTCAAGCGTGGCAACACTAGTGAGGTTGGCCCAGGATCAGGCAGTGTTTCATTCTGCTGTGCATAAGGTTGCTATAGGCCGGTACCAACTCGATGGCACCTAACAACTACATATGCATGTGAAAGTTGGACACTGACTAAGGAAGATTGTTATTGATCCGATGCATCTGAATTCTTGTGTTGGCAAAGAATATTGAAAGTACCGGGACTGCCAGAAGGATAAAGTAATCTATGTGGGAAGAAGCACAGCCAAGATGATGAGACTTCATCTCTCCTACTTTGGACATGTAATCAGAAGGGATTAAAGTGGAGCGTCAACAAAAAGAGGAAGACCCTCAACAAGGTGAAGTAACAGTGACAGCAGTGGGCGGGAACGTTGTCAGCAGCTGTGAGGAAATGCTGGGCAGTGTTTCACTCTGTCGGGCACAGTGATGCTGTGAGGCAGAGCTGACTCGGTGGTAGCTAACAAGAGCAGCGAAGTTCTCGCCCTCCGACGGTGTTTCTTCCAGTATGGTGTTGGCAGGTCTTCTTTTTTTTGTTTTAACTTACATTTAAATTGTCAATTCCTATAAATAAAACTGCCCCTTGGGATTTTGATTGGGATAGTGTTGAATCTATCAATCTGTTTGGTGGGGAAGCTGGGGCGTACAGTCCCTGGTGGAGCGAGTGTGCATTTCTGTTCACAAGCTTTAAGAAAACAGTAGAGTCCCTGGTCAGAAACCATCTAGATGCCCAGTGCTCTAGATGTGTACCTCTGTCCTCTGTGTCTTCACAGGAAGTCCCGCCTCAGTACACAGCAATCAATGCTGCAGAGTCCTGTCCTGCAGATTAGGAATGGGGAGCAGGGCCCAGCACCGCTGGACCCTGAGTGGACCCAGGGCGTGGTCTCACTGTGTGTCTCCCCTCAGGGTGTCCGTACCACTGCTGAAGACACTGGACCAGATGCTGGCCAACGGGTGTTTTGAGGTCTTCACAGTGGAGCCGGAGTGAGTGCTGCCATCCTGGTGGGACCGAGGGAATCCGACTGTGAACCCTTAGGTACAGGCGGTCAGCCCAATAAACAAGCACTGGCTGCCACACTGAGCTGGGCAGGTGGGAGGTGGTCACATGGCCTCCCCTGGGGCGGCGGCAGGATCACAACCCCTGTGGAATGTGTGTATCTGCTGGGCAGTTCTGTCCTGCTGCCCACCTAAGGAAGAGAAGGGACTGTCAGTGGTTGAGGGCCAGGTCCTGCTTAGTGAGCTGTCCACCTGTTTACCATGTGGACGGCCTTGTGGCCCATGGAGAGTGTCTTCTGCTCTTGGTGTTCGGAGTTTGGGCAGGACACAGGTCATCTCTGCCTGGACAGCACGGTGGGCACGCCCTAGAGCCGTGGATTTCCTTCCAGCCACCCCTTTGCTGTGAAGCTGCTCGCACTTTGTAAGGAGGAAATCAGAAAATCCAAAGACACGCTGAAGCTTCGATCAAGCATTGCTGTGTGAGTATCAGGGTCTGAGGGCTGCTGGGAGGAGGAAGCATGTGGGGGCACTGTCCATGACTGACGTGGGGTTCACAGGGACACCCAGGTCCCAGAGGGAGTCACTGGCACATGCAGTTGGCCTTCTAAACTGCCGCTGCTCTTCCCGAGGCTCGGCTGGGGTGGACTCTCCAGGCCCCGACTGCACTGTGTGCTTAAGGGTCAGCCTTCCAGGGTCCCCTCCCGCGACCCTTTGTACCTACGAGGGTTCTATGCTGACAGGATGTCTTGGCTCCCGGCAGGTTCTGTGGGATGATCCAGTTCCAGGGGGAGGTGAGGAAGAAGGTGCTCCTGCAGCTGTTACTCCTTCTCTGTCACCCATTTCCAACGGTAAGTGTGTGTGTCCCCACGGTGTCTGGGGACAGACTTGATGCTGTGTCCTCAGTCCTTAGGGTTGCTGAGCCCAACACAGCCCAGGCCGCACGCATGGCTGCCACCAACTGCACACCCATTCACATGCTGTGATTAGCTTTAACCCCAAACTGTGAAATCCAGACCTGAGCCACTTCTATTTTGGGTGGTACTTCAGCCACCTAGTGACTATATACAGCCTTCGTACACATCTGTGTAAAGTGCCATCGAGTTGGTTCCAACTCATAGCAAACCTGTATAGGGTTTCCAAGGAGCGGCTGGTGGGCTTGAACTACTGACCTCGCGGTTCAGCGCATTAACCCACAACACCGCACCAGGACTTACATGCCCGTAAGAGTACTTAAATTCTTTGAAATCTTGAATGGATGGTAGGCATCAGAAATCCTACAATTGGGATGACCTAGGAGTTACCCTTGGACCCTAATATAAAGTAACCCACGGGCCACATACAGTTTTCATTTAAAGCATCAGAGCCTGAGGTTTGGTTCCGAGGTCATTTTCATGTTTATGTCCTAGATGAGGACATCTGGGTGAGTGGAAGACTCGGGCGTCTGACTGATGGGTCTTCATAGCGGCTGGGTGTGCACGCTGAGCGCAAACCTGGCCCCTGCCTCAGATGCATGCACTAGATCACCCTGCTTCTGCAGCCATAGCTTTGCAGGAGCGAGACCCGAAACCCTACAAGTGTTCCCTTAACGGGGGGCCTAAGTTGTGTGACCCACGGGTGTAATCACTTTTCCCATCCTGGAGTGCTTTCCTTAGCTCTCACTTGTTCAGCAGTGTCTCCCACTTTGCTAACAGCTCCTCTTGAGGAGATCTGCCTGGCTGTGAGGACACCTGCATCTCGGTCTCAGGACCTGGGGCTGTGCCTTTCACAGTTACACAGAGCCAGGTTCTAGTGTCTTGGTCCTTCCTTTCTCTATGTCGAAGCCCGCAGGGACCCTTGGGTGTTTCCTGCTGTTAACACCCTGTGTTCTGTCCCAGATCCGGAACGCCACGGCCAGCCAGGTGTATGAAATGGTGCTCACCTACGGGGAGGCAGTCACAGGCACGGAGGCTCTGGAAGAGGTCATGGCTGTACTTAGCGACACACCTTGGTAAGTCACGTGTCCTTCCCAGGCATTGGGTGCTGGCCCATCTCTCAAGCCATCTTGAGCTGTGGCCCTGTGTGGATGGCTGATCCCCGCTTGGCTCTGGCTCACATCTCCACGTAGGTGACCCCCAATAGGTGTGACAACTCCCTTCTGGAAACTGCTTTAGTTATTGTCACCTTGATGGCCAACCTGGGGCCTCACAGCCTTGCTTCTGTCTGTTCCTCTGATTGTTCTTGCAACACCATTTTCTTCTTTCTGAGCGTCGGTGGGTCAGATGTTGGGCCTTCAGTGGCCTCTGCCATCTCTCCATCCTATTTCCCTCTTGTTGCCTGATTCCTGGTCTTTTCAGGCTCTTTGTCTTCATGCTCCATCCCTTTCACTGAGTTTTCTGTGGCTGACCATGTTGGACCCTCTTGTTCATTGTCGGCTCCTTTTCTGTGACCGCAGCCCTGTTTTGAGGACGTGGCTTTTCCCGTTTTCTGTATTCTCTCTGTGTGTTGGCTCCTCTGGCTAAGTCTTGGTAGAGCATGTCTCTCCTGTGATGGGCTGCCTGCCCTCCCCTCCCCTGTGAGGCCTTCATCACCCCATCCAGGGTTTGGTCACCTCCTGGCATCACAGAAGATGGAGTTTTCCTTTCTTGTTTTAAGGAGAGGGAAATCTTATACCCAGAAACCCTCTCTATGATTTCTTCTGAGTTGAGAAGCCTTGGGGTTTCTCAAATCAGAAAAGCAGCTTACTGAAATACTTAGAAAAATTGTGGCCAGCTTAGCTGTGAGCTGAGCCATGTCAGACACAGATTCCTGATTTGTGAGCTTGGGGAGGGGGCAGTCTGGGGTGGTTCTGGTGACTGACAACTTCGCTCTCCCTTCAGGGACACGGAACTCCAGTTGGTGAGGGAGCAGCGGAACCACCTGTGTGACCTTCTTCAGGTGCCCAGACCCCAGCTGGTAACCAAGGTAACTCCAGCTGTCCCCATGGCTCCTGGGAGAGCAGTCATCTCACAAGTACCCTGGAACCCTAATGGAGCACACAGGCCAGAGGCCAGTCTCCCGAGTCTCCCCACTTCTCGCCTTCGCAGGATGTGTGGTGGTTTTAGTTGGATTTTTCTGATGACAAATGAAGCAGAGACCGTTTTCATGCACTTACTGGACATGTTCACAGACTCTTTCATTAGGCGCTCGTTCAAATCTTGTGTTCATCTTTCTCAGGGCTGCCTGTCTTATACATTGGATTAGAACGTTTTACTGTGAAGTGAATGAAGGTTTGTAGTGTGTCTTCAGTTTTGTATCCAACAAAGCCTAGACTTTGTTCATTACAATGATTATCGTCCCCTCCAGGGAGCAACCCTTGGCAGAATTTCTCTGTTCACTCTCACATCACACTCCTCCCTGTGCCTCCCACTACCTGCATCTTTCCTCTGCTAATCTCCCTCTTGTATCTTGCCTGCCCTGTCACCCATGTTAACATGTGTCTGTCCTCTAACCTGTGAGTAATTTTCCCTCCCTATTCCCTGATAGCCATCATAGAATATTTTTTACCAAGAAAACCTTTTTGTAACTTTTTACAATAGTAGTCTCATGCACTGTTTGTCCTTTTGTGACGACTAATTTAACTCAGCACAATGCCCTCCAGGCTCCTCATCCATGTTGTCAAGCATTTTACAGATTCATTGTGATTCCTTAACATTGCATAGTAGTCCGTTGTGTGTATGTGCCCAAGTTTAACTGCTCTTCTGCTGATGGGCACTTAGGCTGTCTCCACCATTCTGCTATTGTGAATCGCACTGCAGTGAACATGGGGGTGCAGAGGTCTATTTGTGCCACGGCTCTTAGTTCTTGAGGATATAGACCAAGTAGAGGGATTTCTGGGTCATACAGTGACTTGATTTCCAACTTTTTGATAAAAGTTTTCTATGGTTGTACCATTTTACAGTCCCACCAGCAGGGTATGAGGGTCCCAGTCTCTCCACATCCTCTTCAATATTGTTTTCTGGTTTGTTTTTTTAATTTGCTGTTAATACTGGGGAGTTATGGTGTGGTGCTGTAGGATAAGCACTGGATCACAAAGTCAGTTTGAACCAGAAGTTGGCGGTTCAAACCCACCAGCTGCTCCTCAAAAGCCCTATATAGTGCTGCTATGAGTTGGAACTGACTCAACAGCACTTAAGATTAATACTGGAATTAAGATGATATCTCACTGTTGTTTTGATTTGCATCTCTCTCAGTTCTGGTTGGTTGGACTGATAACCATGAAGGAGGGAGGCCATTCAAACCTACCAGCTGCAACTCAGACACCCAATACAGGGTGGCTATAAGTCAAAACTGGTTTGGCAGCAGTTAGCAACAACAATGCTAATGAGAGTGAGCATTTCTTCATATGTTTCCTGACCACCTGAATGTCTTCCTTGGTGAAGTATCTGTTCATGTCCGCTGCCCATTTTTCAGTTGGATTGTTTATAGAGAATAGTCCTTTGTCTGATATGTCACTGCCAAATATTTTTTCCCTCGTCTGTGGTTTCTCTTTTTGTGAAAACTTTGGTGCAGTTAAGTGTCTAATTTTTAGGGGGTCCCGGTCATCTAGTTTGTCTGCTGTGTGAGAGTGTATTTACGCCATGTATCGAGGCCCTTACGCTTGTCCATAGTTCTAGGCTGTATGTTTATGGTTTTAATCCACATTGAGTTCAGTGTAGTTTATGGTGTGGGACGTGCGTCGTCTGTAATTTTTCTACAAGTGGATTTCCGGTTTTGCCAGCACCGCTGTGTTCCATTGATCAGCGTGCCTTTTATTGTACCAGTACCAGGCTGTTTTGCTTTCTGTGGCTCTGTAGTAGGTTTTGAGATCAGGAAGTGAGAGCCTTCTACTTTGTTGTGCTTTTTAAGTAATGCTTTGCTTATCCAGGGTCTCTTTCCTTTCCATATGAAGTTAGTGATTGGCTTTTCATTTCTTTAAAGAATGTTGTTGGGATCTGGATTGGGATTTCATTATATCGATAGATTGTATTGGGTAGTGTTGACATTTTCACAATGTTAAATTAAATCTTCCAATCCACAAGCATGATATCAAGCCATGGTATTTTCAATAACTTCATGTGGATGCGAAAGCTGGACAGTGAATAAGGAAGATCGTAGAAGAATGGATGCTTTTGAGTTATGGTGTTGGAGGAGAATATTGAAAGTGCCATGGGCTGCCAAAAGAACCAACAGATCTGTGTTGGAAGACGTGCAGCCAGAGTGCTCCTTGGAGGCCAGGATGACCAAACTTCGTCTCTCATACTTCAGACATATTGTCAGGAGGAACCAGTCACTGGAGAAGGATATCATGTTTGGTAAAGTGGAGGGTCAGAGAAAAAGAGGAAGACCCCCAATGACATGGATTGGCAAATTGGCAGCATCAGTGGACTCAAGCGTGGCAGCAGTAGTGAGGTTGGCCCAGGATCGGGCAGTGTTTCCTTCTACTGTGCATAAGGTTGCTATGAGTCGGTACCAACTCGATGGCAGCTACCACCAACATCCACAAGCATGGTGCAGTCTTCCAGTTTTGGGTCTTTCGGTTTCTTGTGTTTTGTAGCTTCTTTGTGTAGGTCTTTTGTTTCTGTGGTTAGATTTTTTCCCAAGTGTTTCATCTTTTGGGTAGTTATTGTAAATATTTCTTTCCTGATTTCCTTTCAGAGCTATCTTTATTATTTATTATAAAGGAATCCAACAGATTTTTTTTTTTTTTTAAGGTTTTTATTGTGGATTGAGTGAAAGTTTACAGGGCAGATCACCAGTTTTACATTCAACAAATCATACACCTTGTTTCATTACAATGATTATAATCCCCTCCATGTACCATCAGTTAACAGTATTTCTCTCTATCCACTTTAGCTTTTTTTTAAAAAAAACAAAACCAAAAACACCCACTCAGGCATATATAATAATTTACATCTCCAAAGGGCACAGTCTGCCTTCTGGCCACCAGCTCTTAGTCCCTCTCTTGCCATGAGTCTAGCTAGAGTCCTCAGCCGTTCCCCCTCTTCATGCCCCCATCTCTGGCATCGCTGCTTCTCTGGGTAAGGTCCTGCATTCTGCTTCTGCTCTTCTCCCTTGATGGTCCTAGGATTTCTGGACTGTAAGATTAACCACTCCCATTTTTGTTACAAAACTTCTACCTTTACAATTGTGACAGTTGCAATTAGTCATAATAACAGTTATTCACTATTGAATCCTACGAATCTTATCCCAATTTCTTTTCAGCAGACCTATCTAGACAAGATGAAATCTATTCAGTGGAACTTTCTTTCCCCCCACACTCTTAAACTAAACTCCCTCTGGAAACCTTGTAAGCCAGTCATTTTGTGCCTTTATTGTCCCCTCATTTTAGGTAGCCAATGTCTAAGTTGCCTGTCCCTATCTACCCTGTGTACAGAGGGGATAGCTTTGATACTTGATATGAAGACTCCTTCCCTCTCTGTTGGTATTTAGAGTTACAACCTCCATCTGTTTTCTATTTCCTTTATTTCTGCTTTTAACCATATTTCTTTTCTTCTGCTGGTGGTAGGCCTACTTTGCTGCTCTTGTTCTAACTGTTGGAGATTTTTGATTAAGGTGTTGATTTTGGTTGGTTCTTCTTTTTGGATGTGTGTGTTTATTGCTATAACTTGCCCTCTGAGCACTCCTTTAGATGGGTCCCAAAGGTTCTGGCAAAGTGGCAGCATCAATGGGCTCAAGTGTGACAATTGTGAGGTTGGCCCAGGATCGGGCTGGGTCTTGTTCTGTTGTGCATTGGGTCACTGTGAGTCGGTACCAACTCGATGGCACCTGACAACAACAACAGAGATTCTGGTGAAAGTTGTGTTTTCATTCTTGTTTGCTTCAAGGATTTTTTTTTTTTTTTAAGTTTTTATTGTGAATTGAATGATAGTTCACATGGGAGAACGTTGGTTTCACACTCATCATTTTATTACAATGATTACAGTCTCCTCCGTGCATCATCATTCAACAGTAGTTGCTACTAATTTTTTGGGGGGATGTACATCAGGAATATATAATAATTTAAACCACCAAAGGGCACATTCTGCAAGCCTGCATCTGGCCACCAGCTCTCAGTCCCTCTCTTTCCATGAGTCTAGAGTCTTCAGCTACTCCCTCTGTCCATGTCCCCATCTCTGCCTCCATCTCTAGCATTGCTGCTTCTCTGGATAGGGTCCCACATTCCATTCATGTCTTCTCCCTTGATGGTCCTAGGTCCCCGTTTCTGGACTATAACTACTCCCCCGTTTTTGATACAAAACTTCTACCGTTACAGTTGTGACAGTTGCAGTTAGTCATTGTAACAATTACTATTGTGATTCAAGGATTTAAAAAATTCACTTTTTCATTTGTTTTATTTCTCAGTAGCTTTAAGTGAGGTATTATTCAGTTTCCATGTATTTGATTACCTCCCTCCTTGATCTTCCTATTGATGGTTTTTAATTTTATAGCGTTGTGATCTCAGAAGATGCTTTATAATATCTTATAGCATTAAGTTGTTAAGTGCCATTTAATTGGTTACAACCCATGTTGTTGTTGTTATGTGCTGTGGAGTTGGTTCCGACTCATAGCGACCTTGTACAGGGCTTCTGAGTCTGTAAATTTTTTAAAAATGTTTTATTGTGAATTATTTCTGTCTTTGGGTGTAAACAGCATATTGAAGGATCCTGTTTTCTTATCCACTCTGCTCTGTCTCCTGACTGGTGTATTTAACCCATTTACATTTAGTATAATTACCAGGAGGTCTGACTTCACTGCTCTGTGTGTGTTTTGTGTGTATTTGGGGTTGCTAGTTTTTGTTCCGCATAATGTTCTGCACCGAGTTTGTTTATGGACTTTCCATCGTCTTCATTTCTGTTGTGTTCATGTCGACTGAATCTTTGATTGTCCTCTTTTTTTATTTTGATGTGAACTTGTATTAGTTTTACCTTGTAATTAATTTCTCCCTATTTAAAACAGTCTGTCTTGAAATGCACCATTTAGATGTTCTGTAT